CAAGGTCCTCTTAACCACTGAGTTGTCTCTTCAGCCCCTATTTTTTCTTTTTGATGTGTGATCAGTCTAGTCAAGAATCATGAAACGTATTTGGTTTTCCTGTTTCTTTAGTCTCCTTTAATTTAGCAAAATTTCTGTGTTGTATTTTTCCTCTAGCTGTGTAAGATACATTTTTTTGAGGAATCAAGGTCATCAGTTTTGAGAATGTAATTTAATTTGGTCTTATTTGATTGCTTCTTTGTGTTTAGAATCAGCTTAAACATTTTTGGCAGAAATACTAGATAGGGTGATATTTTCTTCATAGTTCACCAGGAAGTACATACTTGGCCTTATTTTAGGGACACTTCATTTGATATCTTGGTAAAGGCATTTAGTATATACTGTATTGCTCCCCAGAATAATTATACTCTTTCTCATTTATATTGAATTAATATCTAGGATTACGTCTGTGGTGCATTTCCCTAACAACTTTGGTTTTTTTTCGAGACAGGGTTTCTCTGTGTAGCTTTGCGCCTTTCCTGGAACTCGCTTGGAGACCAGGCTGGCCTCGAACTCACAGAGATCCGCCTGGCTCTGCCTCCCGAGTGCTGGGATTAAAGGCGTGCGCCACCACCGCCCGGCTCCCTAACAACTTTTACTAGTGATTTTTAACATCTATTGGTTCTTGCAAGAGTCATTTATTTTATTGGTGGAAGGTTAGTTATTTTAAAAAATCATTCCTAATTCACTAATTTTGACTTTTAAAATTCACCAGATTGTAGAGATGATCTCACCCTGCCCCCATTTCACCAAATTGTACGTTGATGAGTTTTTATCTGGAGCTTTAAAAGGTCATTTACCTGCTAGGCAATATCATGTCCTAAATACACTGTCATTATTAAAAATATTTTCAATGAAGTTTTCTTATATACCAACCATAACATGGAGTTTTCAATCTTCATATTCTGAATCTAAAATGAAATATGTTAAGAATCATACATAAGTTGGAAACTACTTCTTAATGGTTTATTGAATGAATTGCATTTATTTTGTTTGGTTGGTTCTATAGCCCATTTCTTAATTGGACTGTTGGGCATTTTGATGTCTAATTTCTTGAGTTCCTTATATATTCTGGATATCAGTCCTCTGTCAGATGTGGGGTTGGTGAAGATCTTTTCCCATTCTGTAGGCTGTCGCTTTGCCTTGTTGACCGTATCCTTTGCTCTACAAAAGCTTCTCAGTTTCAAAAGGTCCCATTGATTGATTGTTTTCTCTCAGAGTCTGTGCTACTGGTGTTCTATTTAGGAAGTAGTCTCCAATGCCAATGCGTTCAAGACTACTTCCTACTTTCTCTTCTAGCAGGTTCAGAGTAGCTGGATTTATGTTGAGGTCCTTGATCCACTTGGACTTAAGTTTTGTGCACGGTGATAGATATGGATCTATTTGCAGCCTTCTACATGTTGATATCCAGTTTTGCCAGCACCATTTGTTGAAGATGCTTTCTTTTTTCCATTGCGCACTTTGGTTGGTTGGTTCTGGCAGTGCCAAGGATTGATATTTGTGCCTTGTGCATGCTAGGTCAAGTACTCTGCTGCTGAGCTATCTCCCAACACACTTTGCACTGTTTAATTTTTTGTGATCTAGTGCATTTAATTAAAGTTGCTTGCATGAACATGGGTGAGAGGTTATTTAGAGGAGTTTTGACAACTTACCAGTGTTGCTTTTTATTTTATTTTATTTATTTTAGGCTGCAGGTTCTTGATATACTGCCTAGGCAAGCCTGGAACTCTTTAGTTCAAGTGAGCCTCCTGCTTCAGCCTCTTGAGTAGCTGTGACTAACAGATAGTTGCCATTGTGGCATTGTGAATGCTTACTTGTTTTATTCATTGACATTAGTTTATTACTGGCCTATTGTAAGGTAGACAGTATCCAGAATTTGTTTTATTTTTTGCCCTTCTCTTTGTGTGTGCAAGCATTTGATGCACAGGCCAGCACCAACCTAAATAACTGCATATTCTTGCATTTGGACAAATTAATATACCTAATCATTACATTGTCTTGCTCATTTCCCTGGATGTTGCTATAATAAATAGCACTTAGAAGAGCATTAATGATATATTTTAAGTTAAAAGTTATTTCTCTAAAATTTTTCTGTAATTGTCCCTCATATTAAAATTTACTTGTATCATTATATGAAATGAGATCTAAAAGTAACTACCTATCATTTCCAACATAGGAAAAGGTAAAGGATTTTTAAATAACAATTTTTATTTTAGGTAACTTTTTTTTTTTTTTTTTTTTTTGAGGCAGGGTCTCATTGTGTAGCCTTGACTGGCCTGGCCTAGAGCTTGTTTTGAAAATCAGGCTAGCCTCAGAGCACTGGGATTATTTAGGCATGTGCCCCCATGCCTGGCTATTATAGATATTTAAAAAAATCTAACATTTTGAAATGATTTCTCCTTTAGAAAGTTTGGAAGAGTGGCTGGGGAGATATTTCGCTGGGTAAAGCACTTGCCACACAGTCATAACAACCTGAGGTAAGATCCTCAGAGCTTAAGTAAAAACTGGATTCGTGGCACAATGGTAGTAATCCCAGTGTTTATCCCCACCAGGGGATGAGAGGCATAGGACAGGAGAACCAGAAACTCACAGGGCCAGCAAACCTGGCAAGCGCAGCAGTGAACAGTAGGAGATTCTGTTTCCAGCAAGGTGGAAAGCAAAGACGAACACCTGAGATTGTCCTTTGACCTGCACATGTGTTCTGTGATACCTGTGCACCCACATTCACACACAGGGACACGTATACATACATCATACACAAATGACATTTAGAAGAGATATTACTAGCATTAATTATAAACACAGTTCATAGAAATAGTCTCAAATCCTTAGTTGACACAGTCTTTTAGTAAAACAAATTTCAAATCCTCCAAGGAAGAAATGTGTTTTGCAGGAAAAATAGAAGCATAAAATAATTACATTTACTATAACTATGGTTGTCTGTTGATTTATTTTGGAACAATAAAGATTCCTTCCATGTTAGAGTTATGTTTGGATTGTTTTGGGAGAACACTGGAGAGTAATGAAACTGTGTTTTGAAAATGTGTTGTTTAAACTGGGCATGATAGTACACACCTTTAATCCCAGCACCCAAGAGTCAGAGGCCTGTGGAGCTCTGTTTTGAGGCCAGCCTGTTCTACATAACAAGTTCAAGACAACTAGGGCTACATAGTGAGACCCTGACTTAAAAAAAACAAAAGGGGGAGGGGTTAGGGTGTTTGATTTCTTTACTTAACCATTTTACTTTGGGAATCTAGAATAACAGGGATTTTTATATAATTTGATGTTTGAACAACTGAGTCCTGTGTTCACTGTCATTTAGCCAAGGCATTTTTAGTGTTCAAAGGAGCTAAAAGACTATTGTTCTCAACCAAGGAAGACTTTAATGGCTAATGACCACTTTGTGCTTCATTCCTATTACTTTCTTTTGTTTTTGTTTGTTTGTTTGTTTAGTGTTTTAAGATAAGGTTTCACTATATAACTTTGACTGTCCTGGAACTTGTAGACCAGGCTGGCTTCAAACTCATAATAAAGATCTATCTGCGTAGGCCTCTGCCTCCCTACTGCTGGGATTAAAGGCATGCACCACCAAGCTTGACTGCATTCCTATTTCTTAAGTGTCAGATATATAAAAGAATATACTAAGCTGAAAAACTACTAATCTGCAGGCCCTTTCTGTGTAGAAATTAAGCAGGTGGTCTCCAATCCAGGTGAATGAAGGGTCAGCTGGCTTCTGTACTTAATAATTTAAACTGGATCTGGAATTTTCAGGAAGGGGAAGGATAGTCCTTTATCTCTTCAAATGCTATAGCATTTGGATTTCACAAACAAAAAATTACAGTGCTTTAAATAATTTGCTCATTTGGTGTTATACCTCTGATAGCTGAAAATTATTTTTGGAATGTATATTTTTGTTTTCTTAAAAGATACACATTTGGCTATAATCTTGTATATACAACCTCAAAATATAACATTGAGCAAGTTAACATTTCATTTAGGTTTCTTTTTAGACTCAAATGCAACAACAAATGTAGGTTTCTTGAGCTCTTTTTTTTTTGGTTTTTCAAGACAGGGTTTCTCTGTGTAGCTTTGCGCTTTTCCTGGAACTCACTTGGTAGCCCAGGCTGGCCTCGAACTCACAGAGATCCGCCTGGCTCTGCCTCCCGAGTGCTGGGATTAAAGGCGTGCGCCACCACCGCCCGGCCTTCTTGAGCTCTTTTAATACTTTTTTTTGGTGTATTTAACAGTTCTAAACTTGGGCATTGTGTGTTCAGTGTGGATATTGATAAAACATAAATTTTGTTAGTTTCTCAGAAAATAAAAGAAACTGAAACAATAGCAATGATAAATGGTAACAGTGAAGCTTAAAAACTGTTTTTAAAGCTGTTGTTTTTCTGATGTACAAAAGCTCTGTACTGACGCAAGACTGGTTGACATGTGTATATCCTTTTCATGGTTTTTCAGTTTGATTTTTTTAAAAAATCATATCGGCAGTTTAGTATTGTAAACTCATTGAACTGATATTAGTCTTATTACTTTATTTCTTCCTTTTCTCTGTCTCTCCTTTTCATTTCTCTTATTCTTCCAATTTTACCCCTCTTACATCAGACAAGACTGGCAGGCTAAGAATGACAAAATTAGGATTATTTCAGCTTTTTCTAATGTTAATTATGAAGAGCAAGAAAATAAATATGAGGAGATGAATGGGAAAACATCACAAGACTTTATAGAAAACAGTGATATAAATTTGAAACAAGTAGGGGTAAAAGAAATGAGAACCTTTTCAAAACTGACGAGAACCATAACCAACAAAAACAGCCAGAGTACAATTGGAGAAGGATATCTCTCAAGAGCAAGCACACAGAATCCTCTGCTGCCCTTAATTTTGACTATAAGTGTGAAACGCCTGCATTTTCCAGATATCCTCAGAAATATAACACAATAGATAGGCGGAGAAGAAATTCTTATACAGTCATTCTGAAGATAATGAAAGATGGTATATAATACCAAGATTAATTACAGATGTGCATATCCTGATACTGAGAATTCTGGCCATTGTCACGTTGAAAAGAAGAAACTAAACTATCCAGTTTTATGCCCTTACAAAAATGGATTTGTGAAAAGCAGCACCTGGAACACGAACTTGGAAAGCCATGATTGTGGTCTGCCCTTTTGCTTAAGGAACCATGGAAACTCTGGCTCTAACCACTCTGTCACTGATTTTGCTCTATTAGATATTCTTGAAGATTCTACCAGCAGTACTTCTGAAGAACTTCTAGATTCCCCCATTTCTGATGAGCAGGAAACTATGTCACCAACATGGCATCCATCCAATGTCCACCATATGGGAGACTTTTCTGAAGAATATTATGTGGCACGTTCAGCATTGCCATTACAAACGGTGAACTCTGATGCAAATGGCGTTGGAGATTTGTCCAAATGTTCCACGGAAGATATGGCCCCTTCCTCTATTGAGGGACCCAAAGAGAATTATGTTGACACTATGGATGAGCTTCAGTGTTTGGTAGAAACAGTGTCAGAATATTTAGCAGAGAAGGAAGAAGAGATTAATAGATTTGGTTCCCTTTCAAAAACTAGAAAACCACATGAACACAACATTGCTGTTGATAATGCAGAACGGAAAACACCCGAGAATCAAACATCACCTTTAGCTGTGACCCAGAATGCCAAGGCCAAGGCTGTAGTATCTTTCCCTGAGCTGAATGGAGTAAAATGTGCTGTTGGTTCTTTATTCAGTTCACTAACAGAGAAGGTAGGTTCAGGCACAAAGCATCTTACAACCTCTGTGGAAAAAACTGGTTCATTTAGTTCCAGAGAAAACAGAAACTCTTAATCAAACAGAGGCAGTTAATTTGGGAACTAGCCTGCATACCAACTCAGTATTCAAGACGGATCTTTCTGCACAGTCTTTATTATCCCCCCAAACAACGGATGATAAGGATGCTGACAGACACTGCAAACCCTCTGAGATGAGCACCTGGGTGAGAAGACTAAAGGAGTAGGCTTCCAGGACACCACAGAAACTGTGAGAAAGGACTCAGCTCCACAGAGTCAGAGTTCAATTGTGAAGTCTGTTTTCAGCATGCTGAATCCGTTAAAGATATTTTCTGAGAAAGAGGAAACCAAAAATGAAGGCTGTACCAAAGCACTGAGTAGGGAAAACTTTGTTGGATGTGGTTCAGAGTCAAATCAAAAGGAGGGCAACCAGAGTAGTAGTCTTGTTGCTGTAAGTAGAAGTAGAAGAGAAACTACAGATCTCCAAAAGCCAGTAAGGGAAGATCTGCTGTCCTTACAAGTGGCTCATGAATCTTCAAACATAGCTAGTAGTACAAGTGAGAAAGGTGATGTTGAGAATCCATTGGAAGGAAAACCTTGTGTAGATCTTTCTCAGTTACAAGACCAACCAAAACTAAGTGCCAAGGATACTTGGGAGCATCTTGGTGTATCTGGTCGTACCCCTGCAAATCAAGAGCTTGCTGCAAAGCCATTAGAGGAAGACAAAGTTTACCAGTGATGATGATTTCCTTGAGCCACTCAGAAGATCATTTAGTCAGTTTCTGTTTACTTCTCCTGAGACCTGTCAAAAGGAAACTTTGTCAGAATCTGTCAAAATTCTTAAGCCGGAGGAAGATGGACAGAAAAGGGGTGCTAAGAAAGATGGACATTCATTTTCATTTAGTGGAAGACTGCGTATTCCATTTTTCAATGTCCTTAGCCATTCTGAAAAGCATGAGGATGTAAAAGAGAAAGAAAGTGTTTTTCTTTGTTTAAATTTCCTCTTACTGACAGTCATGACACTGCTAATAACCAGAGTTTTCAGAGCTCAGTATCAACCACTGCTAAAGGTATCCTACGAAATAGCCACATGGACACCAGACTTAGTTCAGTAAAACCTAGTCCATTTCCAGATATTCATAATGATCTAGTAAAATTGGGTAATACCGAGGAATTCAATAAGGATGACCAAATAAATTGTCCTGAAGATGTTGAACTTAATTCATTAAAATCTAGTTCATTTTCAAATGTTCATAATGACCCAGAGAAATTTAACAGCATAGAGGAATTTAATAAGAGTGACCAGATTACATTGTTCTGAAGATGAAAAACATCATACAATGAGGTCTGACTCACCCTCTAATATTAATAGTGATTTTGGGGAATTTAGGAGTTTAGAGGAATTGAACCCAAGTAGCCATGTGGCAGTAGAGCACCATGAAAGAGCTGACCCTGAAGTTGTGCCTAAAGAACACGTAACTTTAGAGCTCTCAGAAGAACTTGAGAATCTTGCACAAGTGGCATTTCCCTTGATGCCAGACTCTTCACTGGAGCTTACTTCTGCCGTTTCAAAATCCACATTAGTTAATGACATTAATGAAGACAAAGTCGAAGATAAAACTTCTAAAAAAGAAACCCAAAGAGGCTTCCTTTCTGGCCTTTTAAACAGGTTTACTTCTCTAGAAAACATGCCTAGTCAACAGGAATTCAATCGGAAAAATGACTGTTCCCATCACAAGAATAGTACCTCAAGCCCATTACTCTCTGGAATACTTAATTTGATATCAAACAGCAGTGCAAACAGTTATAATCCAAATGAAGTGAAGCTCAAGTCTTTAGATGAGACAAAAAATTTGGATGGAAGTAAGCACTTATCCACAAATGAAATCCCTGTTGATTCATGTGTGACTTCTGAGAACCAGAGTAGCCAGGTTGAAAACAATGAAACTTCTAGCTTCATAAAAAGTTCTTTATCATTATTGAAAGAAATCATCCCATCATCTGATGGTTGGGTTGATAATCATCTGTACCCTCCTACATGGAAAAATCAGGATAGTGAAAAAACATTGCTCTTCTTCTGAGAACATACTCCATTGTACTGAACAGGGTCTCTTAGAGAAATCTTTGGCTAACAGGCCAACATCAAATCATATTCTTGAAGTAAAACTTCATGAAAGGTCAAACAAGTTAAGTTCACCAGTACTAAATACTAACGTTTTAAATAAGTCAAACCATTATCAAGGTTTTGATGAGGACTGTTTTCAGTGGGATCCTGATATAAAAGACTTCTCCAAAAACTCCAGAGGACTTCAACCAGTTTATCATTTGTTGAATCAAAATATGTTTCCACCAGCAGATGCTTTCTTGTGGCCTGACTCAGAAAATCCAGTAATAAATTTGTGCCAAAAAGATCAAAATGCAAATATCTTTGAGTGGGGCACAAATCCAAACAGTGTCATTTCATGTGACTTACCATATGAATCATCCGACCAGTTAGCATTTAATGAAGGTTACTTATTAAGAGGTGATATGTGGGCAGCCAACTCATTATATGGAAACTCTGGTTATCTTCCAATTAATGAGACCAAGAATTCACTAGAAGAATTGCCCATTGATTTAAGTTACTCTTCAGATTATGAGAAAATTATGTACTCTCTACTGGAGCAAGAATCATTAAGAATTGATGAAAACTACATCTTTTCAAGTTTTGGTTATGAGTATCAGGAGTGGTTATCATGTCTTGAAAATGCAGTTTGGTGTCCTTCAGAGGATGGAAATTATGGATATTATATGTTTCATGATGGTCAGTATATATACTCTCTCCTCACTGATTCTACTGGGCAGTATGTATATTTATTTATACCTGATTATTATTATCATGAATATTTGAATTATAATTTAGAAACAGATGATCTTCCAAGTATTGTGTTAGATGACAGCATTATTTCTGCCTATAGTTTTAAAGTTCTTGACAAGGAAGATGATATAGTATGGTATGTTGAAGAAGAACCATTTGAAGATCCTCTTGATTTATCTGTAACTTTGCCAAGAAGTGAGAGGTCATTGTATGTAAATCTAGAAACCTTTTCTCAAGTACTTGAATCAAGTTTTGACCAAAGGGATAAACCATTAGATTTTTCAGGCTATAATTCTCAAAAATTTAAAAGAGATTTTAGATCTTTCATAGAGAGATCCCATGGTTTGGAAGACTTTGAGTGTATATTGGATCTCAGAAACAAACCTGGAACTATGAGCAATCATGTCTTAAATAGAGGCCAAATTATAGAGAGAGATATGAACTGGCCTTTAGCTAAAAAGTCATCAGCTCACCTTTCCAGGTTCCATTTGCTTCAGCCATCTTCTGAAGAAACTTCCTCTTTAATTCATCCTGAAAGTATTACTAAGAGTTCACAAAAAGAAGAAACATCATCAGTGAACAAATTGACACCTGTATTTTCTGTTTTGGGTGCCTTAATTAGAAGTACTTTGAATTTTGACAAGAATGAATCTGTAGAAGCTTTGGTTATACAGAAAATAGATCAGCAGTCAGAGTTAGCTGAGTCTGTATGTGATGGTCCTCAGCCATTAATCTTGAGTAAGCAATTATCGTGTAACTCCCCAAAGGAGGAAGAAAGTCATCCTGAGGGTTTGGAGAAGCTGATGGTACCCAGTGTTCAGCAACCAGAGTTTACTGACAACATAAGGCAAGAATTCTCTTTCCATAAAAATGGTCATACGGAAAAAGAAAGTTTATTAAAGTCTGATTTTCAAGTAAGCCAAACAACTCTTAAAGATAAAACAGTTGTAGGTGATGTTAAAATTATTACAGCAAAGTCTGTTTCAGATCCTCTTGCACCACAGCTTAATAAGGATGAACATAAGACTTGTGAATTTCTGCAGGACCAGTCTTCCAAAGAGTCTGAGAGAACTTTGCTTAAGAGTGCATTGAAACTCTTTCGTTGGGAAGAACCATCTTCAGTAAGTGCAGTGACAAATGAAAAACAGGCACCTGGAAGTTTGAACCTTTTTAAAACCCAAGTGAATAAGGAAGAATCATCAAACTTGGAAAAGAATGGTGATAAAGGTGGTGGAAAGATTGCATCTCAGGAAAAGAAAGAATCTTCTGGCGTTTCAAAGTTTTTTGGTACCCTTGGGGATTTCTTTAAAACCAATGTTTCTCCCATACAGACAACTGAAAATCGGCCTGTCTCTTCAGTGACTGGTGAGCACGATGACAGGTCAAGTCCTAACACCGTGCATCTATTGCATCAGGATACTGGAAATTCTCTTCCTATATCAGTTTCCTCAAAGAAGAAGGTTAGGATTAGAAGTCTGAACAAACAGACTACTATTGATGACAGTGGGCTAAGTGAGTCATCAACCAGGGAGATGCAGGGCAATGGTCTGAATGAAGAAGAGGTACCTTTCAGAGACCATCCGGTACAGCAGTCAGCAAGCCCACCTGTCTCAACAGGTAGTCCTGTAGAGTCTCCCAGAGGCTATTCAAAAGGATCTGGTGCCATATCTGTAGGAACAGAAGTTCCAAGGAATAATAAAAAGTCTTTTGATGCTCTGAGCAGAAGAAATACAAACGAACAGGATCATTTACCTAACAAAGAATTGAAATTTTCAACTGCTACATCTCCACCCCAACAAGAGCTTCCAACTAGGAAGACTATATTTTCTTTCTTAACTGGATCTGAAAAGTCTGAGAACAAAGCCCCTGCAGCTCTCCCAAGGGCCAAATCTCAAGCAGAAGGGCTAGTCACACTTCCTTCCTTTTCTCCACCACTAACTTAAGCATCAAGAAGGATATCTCTCGAAACAGCTCTGCTTTCAGTTTATTTAACTTGTCGTTTTTGGATGAGAAGCAGCAGACCTCTGAGGAGAAGCAAAGCCTTTCAGCTGTTGCTCCAGTGACTGCCCAGCCCTGTAAGCAGCCAGTTGTTTCTGTGGACACTAGAGATACAGTGAAGGAAGGTTCTAATAGTCGTAAAGAAAGCATAGGCCAGAAAGTAGCTCATGAAGAGCGAATGGCTCCTTGTTTATCCGTTAACAGCACCACTAAGCTTCCTACCTCCCTTGCAGATGAGCTCGTAGAGAAAACCCAGGGAAAAGTGAGTTCCAGTCAGGAAGGAGCAGAAGGAGCAACCGCTTCTGATTTTCAAGTGAATCAGTTGCCAGACAACATTGTTCCTCCTTTACCAGAATCTCAGGAACAAGCCCTGGAGGTAGCTCCTCATGAAGAAGAGGCTTCCCACCAGGAAACTTTCCCCAAGGGCTTAGAGGCTAAGCCTTTTCCCCATGATAATGGTTTGATTGAAAAACTCAATGATTTAGATGTTTGTAATGAACACCAAAATGAAAGATTTACCACTGACCCATTGAACTTGCCACTGGGAAATGCCTCTGACAGTTTCTCAGCACAAATCCTGGATTCACCTTCTGCTTCTCTAGAGCCAGGGCATGCAGGGCTCCTCCAGAACCCAGATACAGATAAAGTAGAAGACAGATCTACAGTATTGGGCTCCAAAGTAGAAATGCTTTCAGGGTTTGTGACCAAAGTAAAATCTTTTTCTGGGTGCTTAATTGAACAGCCGAAGACTTTTTCTGGACTTTTTTCTACTCCTAAATCTGCAAAGAAAAATTCTCTTTTTTCTTTTTCCTCCAATGCACCATCTCAGCCCCTCAAAAGTGAGTTGTTTGGAATTTTTAGAAGTCCCAAACCAGAGACATGTAAACAAGAACCATCTGTACCTACTTCATGCCTTCAAAGTGGTTCTTCCAGAGACACTGTAGGATCAGTACCTCCAGAAAGCTTGCATAGACAAGCTTCCTCTACAGGACTGAATTCAGAATCTGTTCTCAGCAGCTGTAGCATGACTGTGGTTGGTGCAAAGACAGAATCAGATACCTTGACAGATAACCCTAAACTAACACCTGAAATGGAGAAAAATAACATTCCTGAAAATACTTCAGAACCCCCAGGTTTTGAAGCACTTGCTACATCTTCTGTCTCAGAGGATGATACGGGGCAAGGAATGTTATCTTTGAGTGATGAAGGAGACATGGGGATGTTGCAGGGCACAGACACAGAGGCATCATTGGAAGCAGAGCATAGTCTTCCTTCAACACAGCTACAGCCAGATCCTGCCTGTATTGCTGAAGAGATTCCCCCTTCAAGCCAACCACTTCTTGAACCAGAACCAGAGCCAGAGCCAGAGCCAGAGCCAGAGATCCAGACAACTGGCACAAACCAAGAGTTCTTGGGGCTTGCAAGCACTTCGCTAGAAACTTCACTGTTTGATGAAGCAGCAGTCAGTGGGAATACCACACTGGAAACACAAGAGGATCTTTCTTGTCCTTTGCAAGAGGAATCTGTGCTTTGTGCCAAAGAATGTTCTGATATACTTCATGCCCAAAAAGATCTGCCTGAAGCCCCTCAGGAAACAGAGCAGGCAAGGCCTCATTTTGAGATCCCAAACATGGCCAGTTGGCCAAAGTTTCACTTGCCATCCACTCCTTCTGACCATGGGAAGACACTGAGTTCCATTTTTAATCCCTCTTGCTCATCTGGTGGCATGGCAGCAGAAACTGGGTTAATGTCAGGTTTTAAGAAGTTGTCCAGTCTGTTTGAAGGAGCGAGTGAGGGGAAAGGAGGTATTCTGGGAAATGATCCAAAACTAGTGTTTGGAAAGAAACTGGATCTTTCATTTCCATGGTCAAAAGAAAATAAAAGAGACTCTGAGAAAATGCCTACAGACTCTTCTCCTCCAGTTTTGGTTGTTAACAGGGATCAGGACCTTATCCTCAGCAAGGTAAACAAAGTTTTGGAGTCTTCTCAAATGCCTAGTGCTAGTCCTGAGTCAGCTGACATCTATACTCAGCCCTCTGAGACCACTGAACAGTTGGAGGCCAAGCCAAGTGACTATGCTCATGGGCTTTCAAGATCTGGTGAAGTGGAAAGGCAGCTGGAAATTCCAGCACCTGGAGAACACTGGGGTACAAACAGCGATCTCTCTGGATCTGCCTGTCCTTCAGAGAAACACAAGGAAGAGCATTGCACTATCTCTGGGCTACTTCAGACAGAAAAGCAAGAAGAGGAGATGTCTGCTAACACTGGTTCTGTTTTGAATGTGGGGCAGCTAGTCATTCTGGAGGATGTCAAGGACCCAGTGACC